GTCGATGAACATCAATAAAAACAGTCCCCACTCTTGCTTTAGCATCTGCAATTGATGTCCTGTTGGCATCACTCAACTTATGAATCTCAAGTGCTCTTAGGTGTCATATATAGGAAGCTGCCATTTTGAAAGCTTACTGCGGTCTATTGCTTAGTGTAACAGTTAGGAATGTTCTAGGTTTCTAGTTTTGGAAAAGCCAACAAATACTGGCTTAATCAAAAGACCTGTTCTCACAGGGAGGCATTGGTTCAGAGGTTCAGCTATGTCAGGACCAGTGCTTCTTTCATTCTCTTGGGACTTTGTAGCTCTCGGAATCATTTAAAGTACAAACAGTCAGGGTGAAGAGGAAGTGGGAGCATCAGCAACATGTGTCTCTTTTATCAGCAAAGAGAAGCTTTCTCACAAGCTCACTTCTGGCTTATGTTTGGATTTCATGACCATTCCTGCATCTTTTTATTTCTGTAACTTTATTTTTTTAAATCCACAAGCCTATATTTTGGGCTTCCCAGGTGGCTCAGTGGTAAAGAATCTGCCTGACAATGCAGGAGATACAGGAGACTTGAGTTTGATCCATGGGTCAGCAAGATCCCCTGGAGAAGGAAATGGCAAGCCACTCTTGAGTTTTCTTGCTTGAAGAATCCTATGGACAGAAGAGCCTGGTAGGCTACAGTCCGTGGGGTCACAAAGAGTCAGATACAACTTAGTGACTGAGTTGGCATGCAAACTTGTATTTCAGTGTTGGACTACAGGCATCTGCAAGGCTTGGTAGGCAGGACACTTTGACTGCTTTTTATCATCTCTATAGTTTTGTCTTTTTCAGAATGTCGTTTAGCTGGAATCACATAGTATGTAACCTTTTCAAATTGGCTACTCTCATTTAGCAATTTGCATTTAGGATTCTTCCATGTCGTTTTGTGGCTTGATAAGTCATCTTTTAAAGTAAAGAAGTAGTATTTTATTGTATTCATGTCAGACAATTTGTTTATCCACTTCTGTCTTAAAGAACATTTTGACTGCTTATAATTTTTAGAAATTACAAATAAACCTGCTATAAATGTTTATGTGCTAGTTCTATCATGTGCTCAAGTTTTTAGCTTATTTGAGTAAATATTCAGGACAGAAATTACTTGATGGTATGTCAAGGATACAGTATTTATCTTTTTATCTTTGATTCATTTCACTAAAGCTTAACATTCCCTGGGTCCATCCACTTTGCTGCAAATGGAAGAATTTTGTCCTTTTTTCTGGCTGAATAATATTCCTATATAAATATGTGTGTATATATACATGTATGCACACACATACACATACACACACACACACATATGGGCTTCCCTGGGGACTCAGACAGTAAAGAATCCACCTGCAATGCAGGAAACCTAGGTTAGATCCCTGGGTTAGTGAGATCCCCTGGTGAAGGGAATGGCTAACCACTCCAGTATTCTTGTCTGGAAAATCCCATCAACAGAGGAACCTAGTGGACTATAGTCCATGGGGTTGCAAAAAGTCAGACACAACTGAATGACTAAGAATGTGCACACATATACACATGTGTGTGTGTGTGTATGTATACATACATACACCCATCTTCTTTATCCATTCATATGTTGATGGACACTGGGATTATTTCTATTTCTTGGCTAGTATAAATAGTGCTGCTATGAACATTGGGGTTAATATATCTTTTCTTTTCAAATTAGTGTTCTCATTCTTTCCAGCATATACATAGGAGTGAAATTGCTGGATTGTATGATAGTTCTATTTTTAGATATTTGAGGAAACTCCATGCTATTTTTCATAGTGGTTGCACCAATTTACATTCTTACTAACACTGTACAAGGGTCCCCTCTTTTCCATATTCTTGCAAACATTTGTAATTGGTAGATTTTTTGATGACAGTCATTATAATAGGTGTGAGTGATCATTGTTGATTTGATTTTTATTTCTCTAATAGTTAGCTATATTGATCATGTTTTCATGTGCTCATTGGCAATCTGTATATTTTCTTTGGAAAAATGTCTATTCAAGTCTTCTGCCCATATTTTGTTTGGGTTGCTTGTGTGTGTGTGTGTGTTTTATATTGAGCTGTATATCTCTATAGTCACTCTTGGTAAAAACTCTCATCAAAAAAAGTTTCCACATTTCTCTGATAATGAGTGATGTTGAGCATCTTTTCATGTGTTTGTTAGCCAACTGTATGTCTTCTTTGGAGAAATGTCTGTTTAGTTCTTTGACCCACTTTTTGATTGGGTTGTTTATTAATGTATGGCAAAACAAATACAATATTGTAAAGTAAATAAATAAATAAAACTGAAAAAAAAAGTTTCCACAGGGGGAACATATCTCAATATAGTAAAGGCCATTTATGACAAACCCACACCTAACATCATACTCAACAGTGAAATGTTGACTATATTTCCTCTAAATTCAGGAACAAGACAAGGATGCCTGCTCTCAACATTTGCTATTTAACATAGTTCTGGAAGTCCTAGCCATAGAAATCAGATGAGAAAAAGAAACAAAAGGCATCCAATTGGAAGAGAAGAAGTAAAGCTGCCACTATTTGCAGATGATGTGATACCTGATATAGAAGACCTGAAAGTCTCCACTGATAAAGTAATAAAACTAATGAATAATTCGATAAAGTTGCAGAATACAAGATTAATACACAGAAATCTGTTGTTTTTCTATATGTTAATAATAATCTATTAGAAAGAGAAAGTAAAAAAAACTGATTTAAAATCATACAGGTTTAATGTGATCCTTATCAAAATACCCATGACACTTTTCATAGAACTAGAACAAATAATCCTAAAATTTATATGGAACCACAAAAGACCCAGAATTGCCAAGGCAATCTTGAGAAAAAAGAACAAAGCTGAAAGTGTCACTCTTCCTGACTTCAGACAATACTACAAAGCTATAGAAATCAAAATAGCATGGCTATGGCACAAAAAAACAGATCCATAGATCAAAGAAACAAAATAGAGAGCCCAGAAATAAGCCTATGAACCTATGATCAATTAATCTGTCACAAAGGAGGCAAAAATATGCAGTGGAGAAGTACTGTCTCTTCAATAAGCAGTGCTGGTAAAACTGGACAGGTTGGGTGCACGTATTATATCATATCATGTAAAATATCATGTATTTTTTACATACCACATAAAAGAAGGATATGAGAATATTTGCTCACACTATATACAAAAATAAACTTAAAATCACCTAAATGTAAGATCAGAAACTTCAAAAATTCCAGAAGAGAATATTGGCAGAACACTTTGACATAAGCCATAGAAATATTTTTTTTGGATCTGTGTTCTAAGGCAAAAGAAATAAACTCAAATATAAACCAATAAATAACTTAAATTTAAAAGATTTTGCACAGCAAAGGAAAACACTGACAAAATGAAAAAACAACCTACCAAATGGAAAAAAATATTTGCTAGTGATATGACTGACAAAGTGTTTAACTCTTTTCCTTACATTTAGAATGACTTTCAAGGCCCACTTCAGAGATCACCTCCTTGTGAAACCTTCTCTGATGCTTCCCCCAGGACACACCCTTCTTGTTCCAAAGTGATCACTTCCGTTTTGAAATCCTGTTGCTGGTCCTTCTGCTTTCTCTGAAGTCTACATAACCAAGATGTTATTTTCCATAGTAATGCCTATCAAAATCTCCTCTACAATTTCTGAGAGCTCCCGAGGCATTACTTTCTTGTGGTCCCACTTTTCTGCCTGGCTCCTGGGCTGAACTCCATCTTCCCTTGAATCAATCTAGACAGAAAACTCACTTCCTTCACTGGTTTTCACAGCAAAGATGATCTATACATGAGAATTTTGTAAGTTTGGTAATTTAATGGGAAAGGACAAAAAACAGAGTAATGTTCATAACTTCCTGACTAGATCTTTCCTCTCTCTTTTTTTCCCTCACTCCCTTTATGGAGTAAAAAAATGTTCCTCTCTTCGATTCATGTGTAATTATTTTCCATCCTTCTCTGGGCTTTTGGGGTTGCCAACACACTTCTTCCCATGTGGACGTACCTGTTGAAAGTTCACTGTCAAGGCACACTGGCCACAAAAGCATCTGCCCCTGAGACAGAGGGAGTTTTCTTCTATCAGCTGCTAAGAGAGTACAGTTTATCTTGTCATACTATAGTAACTACTTTCACACATATACTTTTTCTTGTTGGATAGTAAAGTCCTCAAGGATAAGAACCAAGTTTTCATCTTTCTGACCTTCATAGTTCCCACTTTAGACATGGTGGTCAATAAATTTTTACTGAAGAAATGAGTAAATGATTACACTGTATATGACTTCAGTCCCTTTCAGAAAGAACCAAATATATTTCTTTAAAATAAGCATCCTTGAATCAGAAGAAATTAACCCATTTTATGGGTGAGTGAACACAAAGACCATGATTTCTTTGCCCAGTATGTAACATTTATTAACAAATGACAGAAGACATTGAATCACAGATATAATTGAAATAGCCAACAGGCAAAGGGGAGGATGGAATCAGATGCTGAAATATGGTAAAATCTAGTCTCCTTCTTAGAAGCTGAACATTGGGTGAAGAGCTTCTAATCTCATTGATGACATCTGAAGATGTCACTTAGCTATACTCTGGTGCCTTTGATGTTGCAAGAATTTGGGGACAAACAGAAGCTAAAAATAGATCATAAAGCAGGAGAAATAGGCTTGTGGACAGTTCAAAAGGATAAATTCCACAATATGTCAGCAATATTCAACCTTGCATGAAAATCAGAAATAGTATAACCATAGCAATTTGATGATGAGCAGGTGGTATGCAGCGTCTGCCATGGAAAGTCAAGATATTCATTGCAGAATGGAATCAGACAGAACTCATATACTTGGTAGCGCCCATAACAAAAACCCAAATGGGAGACTAAGAACTTGTTAGCTGTCCGTGGGTGGGTTGAGGCGATAAATTGTTCAGAGATACTGTGTCCTGGGCAATTTTAAATGAGCAGCGTGGCTTTTAGCAGGTGGGCTCACAGCAGGTGGGTTCACAGATGGGCTCAGTGCAGGTGGGCTGGCAGCAGCAGGCTGGGCGGCAGCAGGACTGCCCACAGTAGGATGGGCGGCAGCAGGAGGCCTGGGCATAGTGCAGCTGGCAGCAGGATGGGGATGTGCAGCTCACCACACAGCAGGGAGGCAGGCTGGTGCCCTCCACGCGGCAGTCAGGGCGGCACCATCTGGTGCGGCTGCTCACAGCTCCACTGCTGCCCACCTGGCCATAGCCAATGCTGCCACCAATGCCATAGCCGGTCCCACAGCCACTGGTCTGGAGGCAGGTTGGCTGGCAGCAGCTGGTCTGGATGGAGGTTGGCTGGCAGCAGCTGGTCTGGATGGAGGTTGGCTGGCAAAAGTTGGAACCACAGGTCCCACCAGTGGAGCAAGTGGGAAACCCACAGAAGCTGGTGGAGCAACAGGCCATGGTGTCAGGAGTTGGGCTGAGAAATGCAATGCTTGGAGGATTTGGGGTGGTGACTTCTGTGTCAGGCCTTTTATATATCTGGGCCAGCTGCTATTTATAAAATTATTAGCATATCTTCCTTGTTTTTGTATAAATTTGTTTTTCAGTGGTCCTCTGATTGGCTTACATTGAAATACCTATGATACATTATGGGCAGCAGTTTAGAAATTACTTCGTTTTATAGTTTCATTTGGACTCCTCATATTGGTCCTTTGCTCTTTGGAATAAGTTTGTGGTTTTCCATGTTCAAAGAGCCCTCCCATTTTTGTCCACGTCAACACCCTCATTTTGTAGAGGTAATTATTCCATGTGATTCTCTGTCCAGGTCTCTAAGACTAAGACTAATTGTGTTGTTTTTAGCTATTTTTTTCCCTCTTGAATATATAGAGTGAATTCTCTTGAATTTAGAACATCAAGACATCCACTGAATTGAAAGGTACCTTTGGTCACACATAATTAAAAGCTCCCAACTCATTTATTCCAACATCAAATAAATCACCATCATTGTTCCTTTGATTTCAACCAATTTGAAATGTGTAAATTATTACTTGTATTTCAGGCCAGAAATATTTCCTTGTGAACCAAATGATATGGTATATAGAAAGATAACCAACACAGTGCTTCGCTTCTGGTAGAACCTTAATAAATGTTTATTGAATCTGATTTTCAATGGGTGGAGTAAAAGGCATGATTCATGGGTGTCTATACCACTTATAAATGATTAAATAGAACTTTCAAGCTGTAGTGCCTCTCATGAAGCAGTCCTTATTATTGTCAAAAGAGAAGAGGAAAAGCTGACATCTTTTTATATTTAATAGTTGAACTAAGTCTTAAGAAAAAGCATCGATAAGCTCTGACATTTTGAAGGGTGCACTGTATCTACTTTCCTCTTCTCTGAAATAAGTAATCTTGTGTGTGACCTATCACTGCCACCAACTGAACGATAGAGGTGAGTGCTGGGAGCTTGTAATTGTCTCAGAAATATTGTTCTCAAAGTGTTCTTTGTTTTGTCCTATTGTATTTTGTATGTTGTGCTCACATACTTAAGAACTGAAAAAATCAAATGGTAAGAGGTATTTTTTGTTCCAGATGTGTGTGCATTTATTGAGAACATTTTTCAGACTGGGTTGCAAAGTATAAAATACATAGTTGTTTCAGGTTTCTGATGAATGTGTCTGACACATCCATTAGAATGGTGATGGTAGAACTCACTGGTTACCTCTGCAGCTGTTTGTTCTATTCTCATTGAGACCATAGATACACCATAAAAATACAGTTAATGGTGGTTATGTTGGATTTGAAACTTACAGAGCAATTTGGGAATCAGCAGGAAGAATATAATAGGCTAGGGTTTAGGAACTGAACATAAATGATCTTGGAAAATAGATAGTATCTGATAGTATCTGGTTGATATTTTGAAATCTAGTTAATAGGTAATACAATTTATTTAGATATGGAGCCTGCATGAAGGAGAACATCTAGTGTATTAAGTAGAAGGAGATTAAAATATGGTAGGATTACATCTATAGCTTTGATCAACCTGAAAATGTTAAGTAAAAATGGCATGATGGCTCAGAGGGTAAAGAGTCTGCCTGCAATGTGGGAGACTCAGGTTTGATCCCTGGATTGGCAAGATACCCTGAAAAATGAAATGGCAACCTACTCCAGTATTCTTGCCTGGAGAGCCCCCATGGATAGAAGACTCTGGTGGGCTACAGTCCATAGGGCTGCAAAGAGTTGGACACGACTGAGCAACTTCACTTTCTTTCTTTTCACAACAGATTAGATCAGGTAAGTATTTGAGCAACTATGAATATTACTTGAAGCATGGAGCATATTGCTAAGCAATAGATTTAAGTATAATGTAATTTGTATTTAATCTCTCTGGCTTAGACTTTAAGTTCATGCCTTAGCGTTACTGTCAAATTCACTCTTCTTGAACTCCAGCTAAAGGTGGATAAACTTCAAGGTAGAAGGAAGAAAATAACTCAGTTTGCTTTGCAAGTTTAAGTATTTTATTTGAAATTAACAGGGGACATTGAAGGAGAAAGCAGGTCTGAAAATATGTGGGAATCAAGAGAGGAAAGAGATCAGAGATGTCACTGAAATGAAGAGCTACTCAAATCTGGTACTCTGCTCAATCAAGGCAGGAAATTCAGACATCGTGGTCGAGGCTTGTTTTCAATGTGGTATTTCAGAACATTCAAAAGTATCCTAAGACTTTCATTTCTGAGCAGCTTAGAAACTTTGCGATACTTAGCATCCAAGAAAAAGCGAATGGTTCTTCAGAGATCAGCACAGGTTTGTTCTGCTTCCCCTTTCATTCTTAAGTAATCAGCACCCTTGCTTTAGCAGATGGGCTCACAGATGGGCTCAGTGCAGGTGGGCTGGCAGCAGCAGGCTGGGCGGCAGCAGGACTGCCCACAGTAGGATGGGCGGCAGCAGGAGGCCTGGGCATAGTGCAGCTGGCAGCAGGATGGGGATGTGCAGCTCACCACACAGCAGGGAGGCAGGCTGGTGCCCTCCACGCGGCAGTCAGGGCGGCACCATCTGGTGCGGCTGCTCACAGCTCCACTGCTGCCCACCTGGCCATAGCCAATGCTGCCACCAATGCCATAGCCGGTCCCACAGCCACTGGTCTGGAGGCAGGTTGGCTGGCAGCAGCTGGTCTGGATGGAGGTTGGCTGGCAGCAGCTGGTCTGGATGGAGGTCGGCTGGCAGGGGCTGGAGCCACAGGTTCCCCCAGTGGAACAGATGGGAAATCCACAGAAGCTGGTGGAGCAACAGGCCATGGTGTCAGGAGGTGGGTTGAGAGGAGGGCTGTTAAGAGAAGTTTGAGTTTTGGCTGCACCGTCTACATCTGCCCTTTTATATATCCTGTAGAGCCATGGAATTTCCCTAACATTTAGCATTTTTCCTGGATACCATTGCAGAGTCAGTCTCTGATTGGCTAATATTTGAGTTGTTAAGAAGGTTATAAATAGCATTTTGAATAGCCTGCTTTTGTCATTGTTCAATTAAATCTCATTATGTTTCTTCTTTGCCCTTTGGGTCAAGCCAAGGCTCATTATGGAAATTGCATGATAGATTAGACTTTGGCTAACTGTTGCCCTGGCTTGTTTTGTCATAAATGTCCTTCGATAACCTTTAGGCAGAGTTTGTCTAAACTGAACATTCCCTTCCTAAGTGGTCATGATTTTGTAAACAATTTGTCTAGACTTGGAATGGCTACCACTAGTGTCATCAAAACATGAACTATTACCCGAGTCATCAACATCAAAAGAAGTATGCCTTTCTATGCTCCAGTTGTGTAAGCTACAGGATCCTCAGCACTCTAACTAGTATTTTTGTTTTTAATGTACATATTCTCAACTGAAACCCTTAGTGACTGTTCCTGTAGATTGTTTTCTGACTCTGCTAATTTAAACATAAGATAGTAATGAATACACATTTTAATAAGTCAAACAGTATGCAGACATATAAAGAAAAGTTAATGTTATTCTCCCTTTTCCCAAAACATACATATCCCTCCCAAAACTAGTACTTCAGAGATAGTCAATATTAACAGTTTTGGGGCATGTTCTGTCACATTTCTCCCTGCTTCTGCAAACATAAGCCAGAGTATGCACATATATATATCATTTAGCTTAGTAGAGCTGTAATCTCCCATATCTATTTATGCAATGCAAGAGACCTGCTTTTGATCCCTGGGCTGGGAAGATACCCACTCCAGTATTCTTGCCTGGAGAACTCCATGGACAGAGGAATCTGGCAGGCTACAGTCCATGGGGTTGCAAAGAGTTGACACGACTGAGCAACTAACACACTATACCTACTTATTATTAAAAATTTTTAGTAAAATACACATAACATAAAATTTACCATCTTAACAATTTTTAAGAGTTCACTCTACTAGTGTTAAGCATGCTCACGTTGTTGTGCAATCAATCTCTAGAACTCCTTTTGTGGTACAAAACTGAAACCCTGTATCCATTAAACACCACTTCCCTGTTATCCCCTCCCCAAGCTCTTGGCAATCATGATCCTACTCTGTGTCTTGATGAATCTAACCACTCTTTTTACCTCATTTATATTGAATCATACAGGACTTGTCCTTTTGTGGCTAGCTTATTTCACTAAGCATAATGTCCTCAAAATTCATCCATCTTGAAGAGTATGACAGAATTTCCTTCTTTTTTAAGGCTGAATAAGATTCCATTATATGCATATTCCACAATTTGTTTATCCATTCATCCATCAGTGACACTTTGGCTGCTTCCATCTTTTAATTACTATAATTAATCATGCAGGAACATGAGTGTACAAATATCTCTCCAAGACTATGCTCTCAGTTTTTTTGGGTGTATACTTAGGAGTACAATTGCTAGATCATATGGTAATTCTAATTTTTATTTTTTGAGTAACTGTCATATTGCTTCCCATAGTGGGTATATCATTTACATTCCCACCAGCAGTGCACAAGGGTTCCAATTTTTCCATGTCCTTGCCAATACTTTTTTGAGTATTTTGAGAATAGCCATTCAGATGGATATGAGGTAGTATGTCACTGCGGTTTTGGTTTGCATTTTCCTAATTATCAGTGATACTGAGCATCTTTTCATGTTTTTTTTTCTTTTTTTGCCATTTGTACATCTTCTTTGGAGATATGTGGATTCGTGTCCTTTGCCCAAATTTTGTTGTTGTTGGTTTAGAGTTGGTGTTCCTTTTGTTGAGTTGTAGGGATTCTTTATTTTGGAATCTATGATTTGCAAATATCTTCTCCCATTCTGTAGATTGCCCTTTCATTTAGTTAGTTGCTATTGTTGTTCAGTCAGTTAAGTTGTATCTGACTCTTTGCGTGTCCTTTGATGCAGAGAAGTTTT